ATAAAAGATCACGATCAAATAATAAAACATTCAATGTTCCTTCCAAGTTGCAACCTTGCATCGACTCCCTGCTGACTGTAGGGAGTATTAGTTACTAGATAACCTGAATTTTCTGCATGAAATATAGTCTTTGTTTCAGTGAACAATGTCTGGAAGTAATTGTAACCAAATATGAAAGGGAAAGTCTACATTTAGCTTGAACAAATTCTTTAAAACCGAAATGTAAACCATCTGAAGGCCTAGTCAATAAAAATAAACAAAGCTGACATGGTCAAAACGATAATAATGTCGCGCCAAAGTTTGAAAGATATCTACCGTGACATAAGGATTACAGCAGCTGAAAACATTTCATTATATTACAATAACTACAAAAATGTGGTAAAACAAAAATATTACTTACGGGACAAAAGTCTGTCTCTTCGGCGATGTACGTGCCCAGTCTAGTGTCGACAGATGACAGTGCCATGCATAGCAACATTGCATCGCGAGCCCAGATTCCCAAATTTCCCTCTCGGTGGACAAAAGGAATGAGCAGTGAAAACACTGATAGTTTGGCAATCTGGGTGTGATGATGATTATCCAAGAAGAACAGATCTAGCAGGGCAATATCCCGGTTCACACTCACGCAAAGGCCTTTCAGGACAGCCACGAAATGTTCCTCCATATCTGAAGAGATGTTGTTGACGCAGGAGTGCAAAAGATAAAGCAAAGGTTTCCAAACTTGCTCGTAAATAAGCAAAGGCGCTCTGCCTTTTTCTATGAGGTTCCTAAATAACCTAAGCTGTTCCCTCTTCATGTCTTTGACGTAAGTTTTGTTCGACGCGCTCCAGGTGAAGACCCTTTGAAAAACATGTTCGTCCAGAACGTATTGTAAACACGGTCCCGGATCGCCGTCCTTTTCGTCGACTAAAACAGAAACAATTTCATTTAAATAAGACACTAAAATATTGCATCGCTCATGGTGTCCAATAGTTTTCTCGTCCAGAGCTATTATGGCCTTTGCGTTATTCCAATGTACGTCAACTAGTCTCAGGTCATCTGAGGCCCCTTCCACAAAACCATCGTCTAACTGCTTCTTGTCAGCGTCTGAGCTCGGTGATTGAAGAGGGGACAAAGACGCAAGTTTCTTTAGTAAGCTCATGACAAAATGGTAGTTCCAAAAGCCCCATAAGGTACTTGTTCACCGGGACAACTGTTACTACTCATGTAAGCATCATCCGCCTTCCGCCATCTTGAATTCAACACGGTGCACGACAATCGACAGGTTGATTGACAACAACGCAATTGTAAGCCAATCACACGCGATGCAGTGTATGCAAAGTCCGTTTCATCAGCATGGACCTTTCTGTAAATTTCTTCAAGCTGGTATTTACTTCCCACAGGGAAATAGTTTTACAGCAGCTAATTTTGGTCATTTTTTTGCGGATATGAAATTATTTGACTTACGACTTCACTGCTGTAAAACAACAAAAAGGTCTATTTCTGGCAAATTACGTAATACAAAACACAAAACTGTCGCTGTTTTGTTTTTTCCCATGATTTTCAAAATGATATCAAAATTGAATCGGCCGGCAGGGAAAACCAGAGTTTTAAGTCTCGATTTCAGTGAAGAAGGACTTGGAGGATAAGAGAGCATCAATTTCTTCTTCACCCCCTCTACGACTGAGGGGATAATCGTACGTTGCCCAATCGGAAATCCTAATTTTACAGTAACGAGCACAACAAACGCAAAGTATCTTAGCTAGTATTCCTTCCAACCGCAGAAACAGAGCAATTTTAACATGAAAATGAGCCCAGCTACAGTAGGTAGTTCAGCACAAAAACGAACGTTTCCGAACGTTTTCAAGGACAACAGAATCAATTGCTGTAAGTTCCTGAGAGGGGGGAGACTCTGAATCAGTAGATAACCTTGCACCAGACCTAGAGACTTCCCGCCAGGTTTTGTGCCTCAACAGACAACAGGCCATGATCATTCGTGATTTGCTAAATTTGTCTGACTTCTTGATTCTTTGACGGTGCCAGAGAATATTGCAAGGAGAATTTAATAACAAAGAAGATGAGGAACAGGACCGCAGTCTTGATTTACAATAATGTAGAAATAAAAATATTTCTACCTTCTACCTATAATCATTGTTCTTAGCTTTTAAAATCAAGCCAAAAAAGAAGGAAATTTTTTTGATTTTAATTTTAATTTTATTGTCAAAAATAGAAAAATAAAAAAAACAATTCTTTCATATTGGAGAAACAGGTACAAGTTTAGTATTTCAAAAATAAGACTCAAGAACCTTCATTATTCTGCTAGATTTCTCTTGAGTGACACAAGTTTGTTTTTCAAGACTTCTATATCTGTTATGAGCGTAGAATATTTACTATCGTCCAATGACTCAGCCGAACTTTCTCTCGTGGGACAATTTTTTTCATCTTCAAGTTCGTGCGAGGTACCCTCGTCTACTTCTATCACTGATATGTCGTTGGAGCTTTCCCCAGAACAGCAATGTCTTTGTTTGTTCAAATCAAGTTCTTGTTCTGCGTCCGTTTTCAGTACATCTCGTAGTTTGAACATCAGGGTCTTGATTTCCTCGAGGTCTCCACCAACAGTTTTGAAAGTGTCTTGTAACAACGTCAACTGACTGTACATGGTAAATTCATTTTCCACGTGGTTGTGGCCAGCAGATTCGTCGCTAATTTCTTCCATTTCTTGGGGTAAGGAATCAAAGCTTAGCTCTCCACTTTTATAAAGGTTATCTTCCAAAGTAAGACCGCTCCCTGACGACTGGTCAAAATCATGTTGCTCCCACATTTCTTCCGAAGCAGATTCGTGATCAAGTGACATCATAATATCTGGAATTCTTCCACAGGTTTTTAAACGGCTTATTTTTCTCTTTATAATTCACAAATGCAGGCTTCTTGCAACAAGAAAAAAGTTTAACTATGGAAAACGACGTAACAATGACTACCACGTCACAAGGAATCTACCGCGCGAGCTCAGGGTTCCTAACCGCGCGCTTTCTACGTTTTGGAAACTGTAATGCATGTGCGTTTTGCTCCTTAGTGAACGCGAGTTTCAGGAATATACTTCACATGAAATAAGAGCTTAGTAAGTGTGAAGTTGATTGGCTATATAGCTAGGCGTAATCGTACAGTATCTCCGGCTGGAAAAGACGGAAAACGAAATTTAAAATAAAAAACACCCGGATGACCCTGTATGTACGCAGTGTTGCCCAGTCCCTGTACGGCTTTCTCCCAGCTGACCTTCACGGTCAATTGATTTCAGAGACGTATTCAAGACGAACGGAACTTTTCGCCTCGGACCACGTGACCCGAAAAGGATTGACTGAGGCGAAATATCAAGGCCTAGTACTAGGCAATACGTAGTGCACATCTTCATACCAACGCAGTTAATACCTAGTACTAGGCAATACGTAGTGCACATCTTCATACCAACGCAGTTAATAGAAACACTGTTCACCAGAACTTTTACTTAGTAAACAAGTCATGGTATGAGCATGCTCAGTACACTCAGTTACTGACTCTGAAGGCTTTCTTTCAAAATTGTAATTATAAAGGAGCTATGTCACGGTTTGCGCATCTTAAAAAGTTCAGCCTAAATTTTTCAAGTTCTTCGTTTGTAATCCGTGTTAGTCTTCTCCATCCCTAACCATCCTTGTTCCTTTATTTATCTTAGTAAACTACTATTTTCAGGTTTACTTCAATTTAGAGAAAATTTTGTACGTGGCCAAAATACCGTGACTGAGCTCCTCTAAAATATCTCACGCAGTAGGAAGCTCCAAGTACAGTGGATCAGCCTCATGACATCAGAAGTATTATGTTACAACAGACCACCAAAACAAAGCGGCTAAGAACAGAACCTAGATATGCAACTCTAAAGTGCAACAGAATTGGTTAAAATGGAAATTGAAAACTGTAATGTAGAAAGTTTGATAATGAAAATATGTGACAAAGATTCTTTTTCATTTTGAAACTTCAGCGAAAAGGCTTAGTTTAGAACAACAAAGGTCTCCAATTTACAACAGTACCATGTTGGCTGAAGCCTATTCCATAACCCCTGAAAATGGCCGTTTTCATACTAGAGGACGCATTATCCGTCCAGAAGGATAATACGTCCTCGCCGTTTTTATACTAAAGACGCATTATCCGTCTGGACGAACTTGGGCAAACATTTGTAGTTCGTCTAGTTATTCTTCTATAGTATAAAGACGGGCACAAGACGTATTATGCATCTAGACGAACTATACTTCAAAATTCGTCTTGAAGGACGCACTAGGAGAGAGAGTTTATCTAAACGCATAATACGTCTCATGACCGTCTTTATACTAGAGACGAATAATCAGACGAACTATAAATGTTTGCCCAAGTTCGTCCAGACGGATAATGCGTCTTTAGTATAAACACGGCCAATATCGTTACTTTCTCATCTCATGGAAGGTCTTTGGCAATTCTGACGGAATGGGGGAGGGGGAACTCAAAAAGCAAGATTTTAAAAGAAAATATGAAGCTGAACCGGAATTCCAGGGGGGAGGGTAATACCCAAAAAACCGTCCATGAGGTGGTATATTTTCTGGAACAGCACATTGTATGTAGTCTCTAGATCTCACTAAAAAAGAAAGCTTAGGACTGTGCTACGTTTTTGCACATCCTTTCAGTCATCTGCTAGAATAAAACAAGGAGTCTGATAAAAAGACTGGATACCACTCAACACAACGTTCTTCTCATGTCAAGTACGATAGGGAATTAAAAGGTTACGGTAATCCTTCTAATAGTCGTATTGAAAAAAAAAACAGTTGCAGAAACAGTCCCTGATTGGAGTTAACATGAACAGTAATGGCATCCACAGTACACGTTGGGCAATTTTGCAAGATTTTCTTGCTTTGCAAGGATTCCTCAAGACCACCAGTTCCACAAGCAATTCAATTTGTAGCATGCAGCAGTGAACAAGAACATTATGTCACCATAAGTTCCTTCAGTAGGCTCATTGTGGTTCAGATGTAACCATACTTCCAAATTCTAATTTGACGCCACTTCTTCAACCTGTCAAATGTTTCTTTCCAGTTATCAGCGTTTCTTTGACTTGCGTTTGTTGTCACTATCTGACTCCTCTGAGCTGCTGCTACTATTGGAGCTGCTGCTGCCACTGGAAGAACTGCTGCTGTCATCGGACGAGTCACTGTCATCGGATGTTGAAGACTCATCAGAATCAGAATCAGATTCATCACTTTCATCACTGCTGCTTTTAATAATAACAATAATGAGGTTTAGAAAAAAGCCCAAAGATATGCGCACTGATTGGTTTAAAATCCTGTTTCTATGACTCGACTGAAACACAGAACTAGCATAGTGATGATGCAAACAAAGAAAAATATTATTTACATTTTGATGATCAAAGTAAACAAGTTGTTTTCTTTCTGAAAAACGATGTAGAAACACTCGCCTGTCAGCTCGTATTCCCACAGCATTTCTCGTTCTCCCAATCTTCCGCTCGTGCTTCTCTATAACTCTATAGAAACACGTAACATGGTTTCTATTTCTTATAGATGATTTCCAGTCCGTACTGTACAGTCTCAGCAGCCTAATGTTTATAAAAATTACAAGTCCTCACTCGATGGAATGTGAATCTATGTTATTCATTAC